ATAATATATTGAACAAGACGTGTGCTTAATACTTTTTAAATAAACTCATTCATACAGATTAATTCTATTTATACTTTATTCAAATAGAGTTAGACCAAGGAAGAAAAGTCTCGTAGGAATGTCATGATATTCTGCTCGAATCCATTCCGGGATAGGATGGATCACGTTATTCCACGCTCAAAGAAAAATTCTTATAGAAGAAATCTTAACAATAAAAAACACTCTTATCGTCAGTCTTGATCTAAATGTATCTCTTTCGAAAGAAGATTTTTCATGTATATTTTATGCAGTCATAGACTATATTTTTACAACAAAAAGCTTTATAGAAGAAGAAGAATATGTTCTTTTGTTTTAACGTGCTTTTATTCTCTCTCTCCTTGTCATTTCATTTCATTTCTGGCTAAACAGACTTCTTTCTTTCTCTGTGTGTGTGCCTGGACTTTCATATGTTATTGTTTGGCTCTTTTTTTCGTATCAGATTGTTTATTCAGGATTACATTGTATCGAGGGCGTAGAATGACATGATATCCCTACGAGACTTTTCTTCTTTGATCTAACTCTATTTGAAGAAAGTATAAATAGAATTCATCTGTATGAAAGAGTTTATTTAAAAAGTATTAAGCACACGTCTTGTTCAATATATTATTCATAAACTTTATCTTTTTTGTTGAAACTAAACAAATTATAATTATATTGTTTATGCTTTAAACGTGTTTATTATAATTGCACTTCGATTTTATTTTAATGGATATTCAAGAACCTTCTAATGTATCTGGTCTTCCAGACGATGTTCTTAAATTTTCAAATGATAAATTTTTTGATTATATACGTTTAGCAATTGATGAAGCAGCTGTAAAAATCTTTGAAGCACAAGAGATAAGAAATAATGCAGTATTGGCTACAACAACAACAGAAGAAGTATTAGCTATATTAGATTGTGATGTTGAAGAATTACGTGATATTAAGAAAAAATCTAATCGACCGCTCTTTCAAACATTTGGAAAATCCATATACGAAGCTGAATGGTTACCATCAAACATAAATCATCCAAAAGTAATCTTACTCAAGATAAATAGTACCCGAGCAAGTAAAGAAGCACGGTTCTATGTTGATCTAAGCCGTCATCCACACATTGTTCGCACGTACGGTCTTGTGCAAGACGGTCAACAAGAATCTCAACAAAATTCATCAGTTATGTTATTATAAGAATATGCACAAGAAATATGCACAAAAAGGCAGCCTTTTTGATTTTCTACAAGATCAATCACAAACACCACCGGAATATTGTCTTATAGAAATATTTTTACAAATAATTGATGCCATGATATTCTTAGCTCACAACAATGTTGTTCATGGTGATTTA